CTATATATATATATATATATATATATATATATATATATAGAGAGAGAGAGAGAGAGAGACATGTAATTGACATATATTGATAATGACGCTTTAAATGTCAAATCCAAGTTTAACTTCGGTTTTCCTTCTCACCAACAGATTTACAATTTATACAATACTATGGATATCCATATTTAAGTAGACGCCCCATTTTATTTTAAATAGTATCGGTTTTGTCTACCAGCCGGCATATTTGAGAAAACTAAATACAGACATTTTGATATATATTTGAACAAATTGGGTGATATGTAACTGATTTAACATTTGTTTTTCAGGAATTTTACTTTGGATAACTGCTTCTGCTAATGGCTTGTATTGGTGCAAAAGATAATAGAAATAAGAGGAAAGGATGACAACGAGACACATCTGAAACAACAGAAATTGAAAAAGCTATTGAAAAGTTTGTCAGTTTTATGGAAAGAAAGCCAGCATTCAGCCATGACAATTGCAATTACACACGCAGCGTTAAAAATTGCTTTCGTTTAATAAATTTCAAGAACAAAAGCAAACAAAATGCAGAAAAAGTTGAGAATGACATTAGAAGAGAAAGAATCATCATGCAACAGCGATTAAAAAATCCTCGTTACATTATTTGTTTTGCATACGTGGCATACTTAAGTTAATGAATTTTCATTAATATTACATAATTTAGTTATTTTCCTTCAAATCAATTCCGATATATTTCACTCACCATCAGCTTTTTTTTTTTTTTTTGCTATAAAACATTGAAAATAAATATTAAACCTGATTTCAGTTCTTTTATTTTAATCTAAATACGACCCCTCATATCCGGACTTTATAACCAATTCCTCATATCGAGAAAGGTCTTCTTAGTCCGGTCGTCAGGGATTCTACTCTATTTAACAACATTTTGTTTACTTTTTTTTAATCTGTCAGATTTAGATAGATTTATTTTATGGCTCATCCTTTTGCTGGTTATTTAAAGCCATAAAATATCTTCAGATTTTAAGATTTTTTTTTTGATGATAATTTTTTTCAAAGATACATGTTCTACTAATTAACCCATAGCTGAGGGGAGAACAGGTGAAACATACATTTATTAAGGGTAAGTGTATATAAGGAACTCGAAAGGAATGGAAACTCAGTTCTCCATTTGGGAAGCATTATTCATTACGCCACCCAAGCTTACAGCATCTGATATTCCCAAGCGGTCACCCATCTAGGTACTGACCAGGCTTGGCTTTGCTTAACTTCGGTGATCTTACGGGAATCGGTGTTTCAACGTGATGTGGCTGTAAGCTCATTACACCAACTTCACTTGTTATTCTCAAGCGGTCACCCATCTAGATACTGACCAGGGTCAGATTTAGGTTATGGTCCTCTGCGTCATACATATATATATATATATATATATATATATATATATATATATATATATATATATATAGTATGCTAGCATCAACCTATACATTTAATAACTTGGATTTGCTTAAGGGTTATAAAGTTCTCATTTTCATGCATAACTCTTACGGACTGTCTGATTGTGTTAAAACGTATGAAACTATTAATTGTGGCCAGTCACTGGTCACTGGAGAGTTAATTAAATATATATTAAGATTTTGGCATTTAATATGCCATTGAGTTCTCTTTCTCCGGTGTACCTCTATAGCAAACCCCATTAGGCGTTTATATATATATATATATATATATATATATATATATATATGTTAATAAAGCAAGGACAAAGAAAAGTGTACCAATATATCTATTTTACATATAACAATCACACGTGGACCCCTTTTTTAAGTATATATATATATATATATATATATATATATACTGGACTATCCCGTCGAATTCGACGTATGAGGGTCAAGCAGATCAGTTCCCAGGAAACCGACAGCCTGACAACGGCACATGAGATTTGATTATAGTGGTGAAGGTTTCGTGCAGGACCATCCACACTTTTTGAGGGGCCGAATACAGAGACCTGGTGCACTACGTGCCACAAGGTCCCCAAACGACCCTCCGCAGATTTTCAATTCAGAGCTGTCCTTCTCCTAGACCAGTTGCCATCCAATGCTATAGAACCCAGTCTGTCCTACTATTTACCCATAGCTGGAGAGCAAAGAAGAGAATTCACACCTTTCCCAAGGGTATTAACACGTAAGTGAATGTAATGGATTCGACTAAAATTCGAACTCGGCTTGGATTGATGAATATATATATATATATATATGTTTGTGTGTCTGTGTGTTTTGTGTAGTTGAGGAGGTGGCGTGGTCCAATGACAGAGCAATGACGTCGTAGTTCTAAACTTTTTAGCGGTAAGTTCGAAAGCTCAGCCAACCTTAAAGTCCCGAACGGTGGAACAAACGAATGACGATCGCAAATAGTTCTTCACGGTTGAACGAATGGATAAAAAGAGCTACGCTTGACGGACATGCTACAGAAGGCGTCCCTCGAAATTATAACAGTCAGCGGCAGTCCGTTGCAGTTTCATAACTGGATTCTGCTGGTCTCATTCCATTTTTTGCACCTCAGAAGGAGGTCATGAATTCAAGTGTGTGGGTCACTTCCTGGAAAGGTGAGGTCCACCTTAAACAAATTCACACCATCGGCACTCTCTTCTACTCTCATTTTCTTTAACGTCTAACCAAAACTTGCAAATCGAAATGACAATAGGGAATGAATGACGGGAGCAGGTTTTAGTGAAACTGGAAGCATCTAGTCCTGACACCTGCGCATTGGCGGCGAATTTTAACCATAAACGCCATCATGAAAAAAAAAAAAAACGATTAGGAAAAAAATTATATTCTTGGAGAAAGACGACGATGATATATATTGTGTTTACACTATTTATATGCGGTAATTTTTGTCGTTCCTTATCACAACATTTCGACCCTTTAGCTCTTTGGCCTTTATGATTTACTAAGTTAAAAGGACGATTACTCTATACACTTAAATATGATACCTGCTATATAGTTTTCGAGGATGACCGTCATAATTCCTCAAAAGAAGATATAAACAAAGAAATATTTTTACTAGGTAACAATGCTATGGTAAAATGAAATGGGTATTAAAAAAGCGATAAAAGCAAAAAAGAAAAAAAGAAAGGACGACAAAAGAAACAAAAAAAAAGAAAGGACGACAACAAAAAAAAGAAACGACAAAAGAAACAAAAAAAAAGAAAGGACGACAAAAGAAACAAAAAAAGAAACGACGACAAAAGAAACAAAAAAAGAAACGACGACAAAAGAAACAAAAAAAGAAACGACGACAAAAGAAACAAAAAAAGAAACGACGACAAACGAAACAAAAAAAGAAACGACGACAAAAGAAACAAAAAAAAGAAACGACGACAAAAGAAACAAAGAACGGCGAAAAAAATGCTGTGTGACTCATCACCCAAGAATAAGAAGACCCCTTAAAAAAAAGAAAATAGTCCCCACAGTAATCTCCATGAAAAGAATGAAATTATCACTTTTCAGATACCTGTCACTGAATAGTATAAAGGATATCGGCGATATCCCTTGGGAAAGGTAGAAGTTCATTTCTTCCCCCCCCAGCTATGGGTTAAATAGAGGAAACTGCAATTTAACACCTTTGGTTGGTTGCTAGTCTAAGATAGAAAAAAATCCGAATTTAAATACATGGAGAAGGAAACGGAGATACCAAGCCACATATTTTTTTTTAATTCTTGGAAATTCATAGAAAATAAAGATATCTTTGGAGAGCCATAACGATTTATATACTCAAGAAACATTGCATTAAAAATATGATACAACGTGAAACCATCGAGTATCGAATTGCCTATGAAGTAGTGTTGGTCATGCGATGTGAAGTGATTATTTACATTACTCAAACATGGACTATTGTCCTGATCTTTGTTGCTATAATAACAGCAAAGATCAGATCAATAGTCAGATTGTAAACAGTAATAGTCATTTAGACTAACCATTACGCTTGCTATTTGATAAACAACCAAGAAAAAACAAGAACATCTAAAGCATGTAAAAAGCTTGAAGCCTGGCAAGCGAACAAAGAAAAGCCGAGAAAAGCCAGTCATAATCAACACTTCCCATGGTCGTTAATCATTCTATATATCTCTATGAGCATGTAATTCTTTTAAATGTTTTTTATCTGGGTCGATACACTCTTCACCTGCCACATCAAATAGCGCGAAATTTAAACTTCAAACCTAACAGGAAAACAAATATGGCGTGAATAGTCGAACGGCGTCTTCTGGCACAAAGACATATTTGTGACCATGATAATAATCAAGCCTTATGTGGCCGAAGTGGTTAAAGCGACGTTTATAAATCAATTTCCAAGGGCTGTTACTTTATTTCCGTTTTCCGGTGGGAGAGAGAGAATTTTCTCTATCTTTACTGAAGGCGGCTGTCGAACTTATTGGCTGAAATGATACGCTAATAAAATTAGCAACACAAAGGAACAGTTTAGTTGTTTGACAGCAGAATGATATCAGTTGTGCATCTTAATTCTGAGGTTGAAATGGTTGAGGCGACGTCCATAAAGAACAGGCCTCCTTGATTATTTCTCATTTTGTGCTGTTTATTTTAGCTGTGGAAGAGTGCTAAAACGAGATTGACAGAAACAAGAAATACAAGAATCGAGGTCATTGAAGTATTTTATCTTAAAGAAATATATATTTGTATTTAGCTAAGGTTTTCAGTCATTGGAAAAGAAGAAAAACAGGAAGAAATATGAAAAAAAATTAGAAAACGGACGAAAAAATAAAAAATGACGAAAAATCGAGAGAAAAAAATGAAGAGAGAAAAAAAAATGACGAAAGAAATGACGAAAAAATGAAGAAAGAAATGACGAAAAAAATGGAAAAATGAAGGAAAAATGACGAAAAATGAAGGAAAAATGAAAAAAGTAATTCCTAGAGGAGAAAGGAGAGTACATTATTCGGACTAATGTCCTCATCTTTGTCGTCATATTTATTACAACGTTTCGGCCGTTGTACACTCCGGCCTTCTTCAGGTGGTTGGAATGTCGAACTGAACCCTTTATTTCGCTCACTGGGGTAGACTGTACTAGTTCCACGTGCTATATTTAATGGATGTCAGTTATCAGCTATCTCCTGTTAATTTTCCCTCTGAAAGTTCTCCACTGCCTTAACCGGGTTTTGAACGCACACTCTTTGGGTCCTGTCACTGGATCTAACCAACGCCTTTATCCACTGTGTCATGTGACCTTGAGGACAACTATGTATGAATTTCTGGGTATTATAAACCTAATGTCTTCAACCATTTTTACCAGTGCTCATATTGCAATTTTTGCTTTTATCATTGCAAGTTTTTACCAGAGCTCATATTGCAACTTTGTTGTTATCGCTTTTCTCTGGCACTCCTTATTACTGGTTCCCATATTGTATTCATTTCTATGCTTGGTCGGCTCAGGAGATTTTTGTGGCCTAGCGTATGTGCTGATTCCTTAAGTTTACGAATTTTCCAATGGTGTTCCTTGTCTATGATCTTAACCTGATGCCACAGAGGGCGGTGATCTCCCTTCTCTCTCCTTATGAGATAATAGTATTAGTTCATGACCTGACTAGGGTACTTAATATACAATAATAATATGCAAGATCGTACCACAGATAATTTCAATGATGAAGTGAGTTCGATCTTCACTTGGTGGCATCCGTTTGTCAGAAGGAGTTTATTATCTAAACTTAAAACAAAAAAACAACAAAAAAAAAGAACTGATATAATCAGTTACTTAATCCTCTTGTCAAAAGTCAGTGTCATTGCCCAGTTGTAAAAGTTGGCTTTCGGGGAAGGGTAAACTAGAAAAATTGGCCGAACATATTCCTCTCTCGGTCTTGTTATGTAAAGCTGGCCACTCGTATTTGAGGATACCTGTCTACTAGGGCAGCTAGCCAATCCCTATTGCAGACGCTTGCTCAGGCGCATTTGTGATTATTCAAAACCCACAGAGCCAACCCGTAGTTTATACTGCGACTTTGCTTATTTTACACTTTCTAAAAAAGAGCGTGATCAACAATTTGAACAAGGCCAGTACTCTTAAGCCCTCGGCCACGATGACTTATGACTTCGTGCTAGCACAGCTATCGACGTCACCCAAGGGTTCTGTCTATCCAATTTTACTCAACTCACAAGGCTTGGGTCAACCCGTGGTATGGCTTTCAGACACTTTCCGCACGCTTGGATCGATCGCTCCAGTCTAATAACATCATAAAGTCTCCTTACTGACAAATCGAACATGATGAAATTCGAACCCGGGTCTCACGATCAGAATGTGAACGCT